AGATGGAGGCGGCTTTCTCTATACTGACTGCCAGGTGTAGAGGGCGGAGCTTATAACAATGACTGACAGGGAGCTAAGATGGAGGCGGCTCTCTCTATACTGACTGCCAGGTGTAATGGGCGGAACTTATAACAATGATTGACAGGGAGCTAAGATGGAGGCGGCTCTCTCTATACTGACTGCCAGGTGTAAAGGGCGGAGCTTATAATAATGACAGGGAGCTAAGATGGAGGCGGCTCTCTCTATACTGACTGCCAGGTGTAATGGGCGGAGCTTATAACAATGACTGACAGAAGCTAAGATGGAGGCGGCTCTCTCTATACTGACTGCCAGGTGTAAAGGGCGGAGCTTATAACAATGACTGACAGGGAGCTAAGATGGAGGTGGCTCTCTCTTTATACTGACTGCCAGGTGTAAAGGGCGGAGCTTATAACAATGACTGACAGGAGCTAAGATGGAGGTGGCTCTCTCTTTATACTGACTGCCAGGTGTAAAGGGCGGAGCTTACAACAATGATTGACAGGGAGCTAAGATGGAGGCGGCTCTCTATGCTGACTGCCAGGTGTAAAGGGCGGAGCTTACAACAATGTTTGACAAGGAGCTAAGATGGAGGTGGCTCTCTCTATACTGACTGCCAGGTGTAAAGGGCGGAGCTTATAACAATGACGGACAGGGAGCTAGGATGGAGGTGGCTCTCTCTATACTGACTGCCAGGTGTAATGGGCGGAGCTTATAACAATGATTGACAGGGAGCTAAGATGGAGGCGGCTCTCTCTATACTGACTGCCAGGTGTAAAGGGCGGAGCTTATAATAATGACAGGGAGCTAAGATGAAGGCGGCTCTCTCTATACTGACTGCCAGGTGTAATGGGCGGAGCTTATAACAATGATTGACAGGGAGCTAAGATGGAGGACTCTCTCTCTCTGTACTGACTGCCAGGTGTAAAGGGCGGAGCTTATAACAATGACTGACAGGGAGCTAAGATGGAGGCGGCTCTCTCTAGACTGACTGCCAGGTGTAAAGGGCGGAGCTTATAACAATGACTGACAGGGAGCTAAGATGGAGGCGGCTCTCTCTATACTGACTGCCAGGTGTAAAGGGCGGAGTTTATAACAATGATTGACAGGGAGCTAAGATGGAGGCGGCTCTCTCTATACTGACTGCAGGTGTAATGGGCGAGCTTATAACAATGACTGACAGGGAGCTAAGATGGAGGTGGCTCTCTCTATACTGACTGCCAGGTGTAAAGGGCGGAGCTTATAACAATGATTGACAGGGAGCTAAGATGGAGGCGGCTCTCTCTATACTGACTGCCAGGTGTAAAGGGCGGAGCTTATAACAATGATTGACAGGGAGCTAAGATGGAGGTGGCTCTCTCTATACTGACTGCCAGGTGTAAAGGGTGGAGCTTATAACAATGATTGACAGGGAGCTAAGATGGAGGAGGCTCTCTCTATACTGACTGCCAGGTGTAAAGGGCGGAGCTTATAACAATGATTGACAGGGAGCTACGATGGAGGTGGCTCTCTCTATACTGACTGCCAGGTGTAAAGGGCGGAGCTTATAACAATGATTGACAGGGAGCTAAGATGGAGGCGGCTCTCTCTATACTGACTGCCAGGTGTAAAGGGCTGAGCTTATAACAATGATTGACAGGGAGCTAAGATGGAGGCGGCTCTCTCTATACTGACTGCCAGGTGTAAAGGGCGGAGCTTATAACAATGATTGACAGGGAGCTAAGATGGAGGCTGCTCTCTCTATACTGACTGCCAGGTGTAAAGGGCGGAGCTTATAACAATGATTGACAGGGAGCTAAGATGGAGGTGGCTCTCTATACTGACTGCCAGGTGTAAAGGGCGAGCTTATAACAATGATTGACAGGGAGCTAAGATGGAGGTGGCTCTCTCTATACTGACTGCCAGGTGTAAAGGGCGGAGCTTATAACAATGATTGACAGGGAGCTAAGATGGAGGCGGCTCTCTCTATACTGACTGCCAGGTGTAAAGGGCGGAGCTTATAACAATGATTGACAGGGAGCTAAGATGGAGGTGGCTCTCTCTATACTGACTGCCAGGTGTAAAGGGCGGAGCTTATAACAATGATTGACAGGGAGCTAAGATGGAGGTGGCTCTATACTGACTGCCAGGTGTAAAGGGCGGAGCTTATAACAATGATTGACAGGGAGCTAAGATGGAGGTGGCTCTCTCTATACTGACTGCCAGGTGTAAAGGGCGGAGCTTATAACAATGATTGACAGGGAGCTAAGATGGAGGTGGCTCTCTCTATACTGACTGCCAGGTGTAAAGGGCGGAGCTTATAACAATGATTGACAGGGA